CATTCTATATGGATCTACTTAGTTGCTAGGGTATTGGTTGTAAACTTATGCAATGGAAAAGCATGCAGTCAGATAGGCATTCGATCTACCACAAAAGATCGGTGACGAAATATCGAGAATTATTCGCAGATACATTATAGTAATTTCGTAACTTTCTGGATCAAAGAGTTCAAGTGCTTGGCACAGAGAACTTTCAAGAAAAGAGAAGCAGAACAGATCCTCGTACAAATCAGTCAGCGCTCGAAAAACCCAAGTTATCCATTTTGCAAAATAAGGCATTGGCTATTTCAATGCACTGATTTCCGACACAAAAACGAGAGCCAAGCGCGTTAACTGCGTACAAAAGCAAAGGATGTGGTAGTCAAGGTGTCAGTAAGGGCCAAAAATGTTCAAGTGGCTACCTCTACTCCAAACTACTACACTGCGTATAGTAGGTATTGAAGGCACTCTGAAAACCAGCAGACAAACCAGAAGGAATAAATTTGTAATGTCTTTGCTTAAAAAGTGGAAGGGTTTGTGACCGCACATCATAACGGATCAGCCGGCTCATCAGTCAGACTAATCCAGACATCTGTAAGTCAGAAAGTTACTTATGTCAGAAATGCTTATCAGTGCAGAGCAATTAGGCGTAAAACTCGGTAGCAATTTACGAAGCCGCATCCATAAACAAGAAAATCGACACATTATTGAAAAGATTTTGGAATCTTGAAAATATAAACTCTATAGAGAAGAGTCGATCCCCGGCAGAGGCTCAATGAAGCGGACGGCAAGTTCATTGTAAAACTTCCATTCCGAACTTCCGAACATCCTGGGGGCATCATAGAAAACAGGCAACGAATAGGTATCGAGCACTAGAGATATACCATCTGATCAATAATTTACCCCGCATCATTGTGTGCAAAAAAACTGAAAGCGGGTAGTATTTGATGCATCATCATTATCAAAAGTGATCTGTTTGCATATCTTTGTATACCTGTCCCAGCGGACTAAGAGACATCGCCAGGTAAAAATACCTGGCCAGTTTTTATTAACTTATCGTTTGCAAAAAAAAAGCATCTGAGAAACTCCGGTGTTATTGACTCAAAACCATCACTTACGTCAAATCTCTGGAGAAAAAATCGATTTTTACGTCATTGCGGAAAAAGGTTCAAAGTAATGAGTTTACCGGAATATTGTTACCATGCGTATTAAAGTTGCTGTAATGGTGCCCCTATAATGAACAGGGTCTTACGATAATTCCAGATGAAGATAAATAAGCACGTCAAATTCGACGAAATACTGAAACACTAGTATCAAGACGTTTGGTTTGCTTTGGATGCCGCAAAAAGATCAGTCATGAAGACGGTACCAGCAACCTGAAGCCTTATCCAGCACCTAATAACCCCTGAAAGCTCTACCTATTAGAGGTTTGCAATTTCTTTTTTTAATTATATTTTATTTATTGGATCTTGTCGACAAGGAGGATAACGAAAAATGACCTGGTGCTTATTGTTTGGATATTTCCTCTGTTACGAGAATACCAAATCTTCTATAACCCTTCATTTCTAACATACCGCGTTCCCAAACACAGAGATTTGCAAGGCAAATCAAAGTACAGGTTGTAGGTGAGATTTCTTAACATGGACGTGCCTCCGCCATGTAGATCACCTGTCAAGGTGGACGTTAAGGTATGTTAGTTGGCTTGTGAAAGTTGGGTAGTATTCAGGGTTAGTTTATTTTAATACGCCAACCTCTCCAATACCACGAATTACTAGTAAGTGTTGTTCCTTAAATTGGTAATCATGAACGAATTATGATCGTGGTATCGCCTGCAAGAGTTGATTTAGTTAGCTGCTGTGCTGTGTATAGGTCTCAGGGACTCCCGCTTTCAGATGTTGTATCGTTGCATTTTACGACTTTTCAAAACAGGCAGTGAATATTGCTGCCTTGACTTTGGATGCTGAGAAATGTAATTCATTACTTTCTGTATTTAAGCTACTTGTTTTGTGCGACATCACTCTTAGAGGGTGCATGATTAATTACGGGTTTCAAGAAGAGCTATCAGGACAGTTGAGTGGTCTGTTGACCAGTGAAAAAAAACGATTTCGCAAGACTTACATTGCGATAGAAATGCTTATCACGACAAAATCAATTACATCTGAAAGCTTTCTAGGATCTCTGGGCCAGTATGTGTAAGACTGCTGGGTGATAACTATAGTTGAAGAATCAATGAGTACGAGGAGGAACTGAAAAATGCACATACGGAGGAAGATGACCCAAAATAGTGTTTGGCGACCCTGAAAATTAACCGTAACCAAGTGGGGCATTTAGTATGAAAAATGTGGAGCCAGATGGAGGCTTGGAAAACGGAAAATTCCATCTTATATATAGTTCAAATGGTAAGAATATAGGTCCGAAAAACAAATAGGAAAGGAAAAAATAAGACGGTGGAGTTTTCAGTTAAGGAAATAAGCTTGGCAGCGTTTCTGAAAGCAGCTAACTTGGATCAACAACTGAAAAATTAAATCTGTGATGGAAATAGAATTGGAAATGGAATGGAATTGAAACGGAATTAAAATTGCCAGTTCAGCTAAAACTATAATCGGAAACGTTACTCAAAACCCCTGCCGGATAAAAAGTCGATCTCATTAGGTTGTGGCTACAGAAGTCCAGGGTAGAAGTCTATTTTTTTTTTCGCACACTTTCACTAGCTTACTGGACCATAGCATTATCTTTAATATTCTTTATGATGCGACGTATACGTCCCTCTGGGGTTGAACGGGACCAAACAGTGCCAAAAAAGGGTAGCCAGTCCACTTTAACCAAAGGAAACCGTAAAGAGGTTATCGACATTACGTTTGCCGTGAACACCAAGACGTAAAAAGTAACCGGCTGGTTATATTTCCTTATGGTCCTTTAGTTAAGTGGCTTCGGCAGATAAGAAGTACGTTGATCGGTTGGTCTCCCTAGTCCAGGTTTTATACAGATGGGGTGACTTCTTACGATGATTATGGTGGAGGGCGTGACTTGGCCCTCTTTGCTGATCACTGGCATTTTGGCTCAGCGCGAATGATTTATATTCAACAAATGTATTTAACGGCGGAGTGCCGGAGTTGCTAGTCTTTATCCTTAAAGTGCTTGCTTAGAACTGAATACAGAAAAAGGGGAAAATATGAATTTACCCTAGCTCCAATGCAGCAAACCATGAATTCATGGTCGGCAAGCCGACTCAGCATTTGTGGAGCGCAATGCGGTACCCCGGATAAAGGGTGTCAGATTTCCGCTGCTGTCCGTTCGCAGCGCGGAGCTTTGAACTTGATTTGGGCGCATCAGCATTTTATACAAATCTACATAGTTGCTAGGGCAAATATATTACTAGTTGTTAACTTATGTACTATTCAACTTCGTAGGGCAATCCAAGAACGCTATGGAAATTGGTATATTTCGTCAACCAATCCTTAAAATTAGCCGCTCTTACGTCCCGTCAGTAGACCGCCAAAGACTAGCATCACTAGACTAACCATCACCTTTCTGAAATGGTGAGACAAAAAGCATTTTAAAGAAGAATACCAGGACAAAAAGAAAAAGATTGAGATGACAACTACTTTAAAAACGGTTCAAGGAAAGCGAAATGAGAATTTGGTTAGATTCTGTGAGGATTTGACAGCCACCACAAAAGCCGCAAGGCTTCCACCGCTCATGTCTAAGAACCACACTGGGTCTCAAGGCGTTAAACCCATTGGGAACTTCGGCCAGATACACACAGGGAATTATTTTAGCTCTCAAAAGTCAACGTAGGTGAATTTAAAAGGGACAGAGGCCAGAATGTACCGGACTTGTGTAGCGTTTTTCAGGCGGAGATCTGTAAATACTGGCAATTAGACATTGTCTAGCAGATAAGTGTGTCAAATGTTACCTACGTCTGCGAGTGATATTTCCAGACCAACTATGAAACAGTTTTCGGATTACAACAAAACACTGTATTTTAGACTTTGAATTTATATTGCAAATTGAGAAGGTAAAAACACAACAAATACTTGCTGGGCCACGGTTTTATTCGAACCGTCCCGAAAGGAAATATGGCTAAGAAAGCAACTATAAAACTCATTCTTTTATTCATTTTTCTAATCCGCAATATTTATCGGCTTTTTTATAACATGAGTATGTAAGAAAGTTCGTAGGAACGATTTTGTTCTTGATTTCTTCACACACTACACGCGAACACGGTGCAATATTATTGCAACAAGGTCTCAAAGTCTAATAATGTTTTATTGAAATAATTATAAATATCGAGTGCTTAGATTAGCAGACAAATTCTTTAACGGTTTTTAAATATATTATTATATCTTTTTGTACATTTTTCATATTCTCTCCTGCAAAGTTTCGATATTTCTCTTTATCTTTATTAAGTTATTGTATAATAAACTCCTGCATCTAGTCCATTAATTTATAGCAGCAGCCTACTTCCTGAGGTGATGTTTACGGCTTAGTTTCCGATCCAGAACCTTAATTATAACAAGATATACTCGTAGTCGGGTTCTTTTACTATCAGATACCCGATACCAAGCTTTGGAGGGAGTGAACGAGAAATATCGTACCATAATATCATAATAATTATCAAATAGCAAATATAAATAAAAAAAAATCAAAAAGTGAGGGCGTGGCAGTTTTGGGCGGTTTGTTGGCGTGGCAAAAATATTTGTTGTATACCAGAAATGGCCAGACAAATAATAAATCGAAAAATACTGAAACACTTTTAATAGTGTGGACGTGGCAGTTCTTGCCAGTTTGTGGGCGGGTCAAAATATTTTTGTTATACCGATAGATATGAGCAAAACAAATATAGAGACGAAAAGAAATCCAAACTGTGTGGGCGTGAGATTTTTTGGCGGTTGGTGCGCGTTAGAGTGGGTGTGCTAAAAATGTTTATTGTCTAATATAATATATAGTATAATATAATATAATAAAATGAAAAAAAAACCTGGCGTGGCAGCCTTGGGTGGTTTGTTAGCGTAAGAGGGGGTGTGGCTATAACAGGAAGCAAACTTGCGCTGCGTTATCAAGACTTTATGTCGTTTAGACGGCTGATCAAGACTTTATGTGGTCGGAAACGCTTCCTTACATCTACGAGCAACGGGTATAATTAATGCCTGACATAGTATGAATTTTAAATATAATTTCAATTTATAAAGGTTATTCAATATATTTTCTTTAAAAAATACGTAATATATAATCAACATAAAATACAACTTAAGCACCATTAGCAACCGATTGTTCAAATAACAAATGGATGTAAATGCTCTAAATTGGTTGAGTATTTATTTATAACTGTAGAGTCGTGTCCGACGCCAACATTGCTCGCCTTCCCACTTGGGTTTGCAGTAATATTATTTAAATTCCGATGCCGGTGCCATCCTTTCTTACCCTATGGAAACATATCTTTACCGTCAATTTATAACTCAAGAATAACACATACCATCATTGTTTTCTGTGATTCCATAATTAAATCGTTTGGTACTTGGAAAAGTCTTTCGCCACGCAAGATTAAAATATTCGTTAAACGACAACACTGTGCGGCCATTCGTAATTGTTCTGCAATGCTGTTTTTGTCACTCGGGTGTATATACCGTGGTGGGAATAGTGATGGTGCAATTATTGTTGCTACGTTCTGAACATTCATTTTGTTTATATCCTTTAGATTAATGATATAATTAAAAAAGCTTAATAAAGAACGTAATGTGTTTCTATTTTCGGGTGGAAGCAGGTGACATAAAATCGATAGTGCATTCATATTATCCATTGATGGAAGTGTGTGACATTGATAAAACAGTTGTATAAGCTCATTAGTGAGTAAAGGTTGGGGAAGCTCCCGCAGCCATCGTTTTAGCAACGAACTAAGTTCGTGAACAGTAGCTGTGCAAAAAAGGTTAGTTAGGTTTTCCGGATTTTGATAAAATGTAGATTCTAATTCATTATAAAGTAATTCAGTCTGAAAATAAAGTTATTTAGATTTAATTACCACATTATTTTTATTATTAGAACTATTTTTACCTTTTGCTTATGACCACCTATTCGAAGTAATCCTTCTTCTCTAGAGCCACGTCGCAGAAGTTCCCCAATTAGATTTTCCAAAAATAGTGGTACTAAAGATGAGTCAGTGCCAGTAACTTGCTGATCCCGACGTATAAGAGCGTTTATAGATACCCCAAAAAGATTTCCTTCTTCTTTGCGACGACGCTTAAAAGGCTTTCTTTTATCTAAAGAAACTTGGTTGCGATCAAATATTGTGGCTAGTTCTAACCAAAGTATTGTCTGTAAACGTTTCATGCCAATTTCGCTTATTGATGCAATATCTGTGAATTGCGTTGAAGGGGTATCACAATTATCTAGTACTTCGCAGCTATCAGGACTAGAGGAATCTCGACAAATACTTTCAAAGCTCAGGACATTGTAGGGAATAGGAAAAAGGCTAATGCATTCATTCTCTGAAGCTGACAGCACTTCACTCAATGTTTTCTTTTGTGATGGTGTATCGTTTTCACTTTGACCATCCTTCGATCGGCTGAAAAGATATAACTCAATAAAGACCTAAAGTCCTGTGAAATGGAAAAACATACCCAATAGAACAAAAGGGATCAGAGCCGGATCGGTTTCGTGGCAATTGTATGGTGCCAATCCGAGAATATCCAAGCAATTCTACCCCATGCGCCGAGTACAAAGGTATATCACATCGCACATGCGAACCACGAAATATATCTGCACCGGTGCCGCTTTTAGGCGGGGCGCTAGGGGTTCGTCTTAGGGTTGGTTTTAAATACATTTCTTTTGATTGTTCTACACATCGATTGCCAGTTTCACCATATTTTTCATAATTATTGACAAAATTCGGTCTATTTAAAAAAAATTTGAGTTTGTAAATGAGTAATAAAGCAATTAAATAATACATACAAAGAATTGTTCGTCCAAGCTTCATCAATTTGTAAAGAGTCCAGGGAATCTGGAGTGGCACTTCGTGACCGTGTTCCTGTACTTCGTTCCTTTGAAGTAAAACATTAAATTGTGCCTTCATGTTATGTTTATAGTACTTGTATATAAAAAAATTCAAGAAATTTATAATCGAAAGCAATCAAGGTATGAATTATTTTCTATTATTTACCTCTAATTTTCCGACTGTCCCTTTAACAGCTTTATGATATTGTCGTCAATTTTGTTTAAACTAAAGCTGAAAATATTTTTTGTTGTCAAAAACTGGACTATTCCGAATTTATGAATTAAAACGACTACATTTCGTTTCGATAACTTAATTTTTCGACTGCTAATAGTGCATAATTATAATTGGTAGTCTGTTTTGAATCAAATAATAATCGATATTATTTATGATAAAAAAAGTGATGTACTCTTGTTCAGTCACAGCAATATGTGTACCTGATTCTCCTTGATTGGGTCGGACGCGCAGGCTATCCTTCCACAGTTATTTCTGCATTTGTGAGAAGTTTTAACTTCTTAGATTCGTTATAAGTGATTTGAAAAAAATTATGTGGGCCCAATCGCATTAATTTCTCCGTTCATTATGAATATGATGACCCAGTCAAAGGAGCACCACATTTGAATTCCCTCGTAATATAAAAGAAGGAGATTCAATAGGTTCCAGGTGCAAAAACCAACATTTCAAGCAACAAGGATAAAAACTTGCCCAGAGTTAGCATACTAAAATTCGATGGAGATTTGCTCAAGTGGAAACAATTTTCGCTATCTATTACAATTCGTAGTCCATGACATAAACACACACACAGAACGGAGAATGTGATATTTAAAGATCTTTAAAGAACTTTAAAGATGTTAATCGACACCGGCGCGGCGAAAAATTATATACAGACTATAAAGGAGCTGAATACAGTAAGACCAGTCGCCCAACCTTTCTAGGTGAGCTCAATTACACGGCTCTACCGAAGTTAAACAGAAATGCTTAATGGATGTTTTCATCACACTTCACCATTTTTTCTACTGAAGTCGCACAGATCGTTTGACGCTATCATAGGCTTCGACCTGTTAACACAGGTAAAACTTAAAACTTCAAGTTAAACTTAGACAACAACTCGCAGACAACTCTCTAGAATATCCGAATGTGAATGTGAAGAACATTGTGGTACCTGCCTCTATTGAATTGGAGTTCATGGACACAATACATAGGAGGAGAAAAGCCTTTTCAAACGAAGCTCTACCAATTAACACCGCTGTTACTGCCTCGATTCGCACGGTAGGCAACGAACCGGTTTACACCCGAGCTTACCCAAATCTCATGGGTGTTTCTGACTTCGTAAACAATGAAGTCAAGCGAATGCTAAAAGATGGCATTATCAGGCCCTCAAGGTCGCCCTACAACAGCCCAACCTGAGTTGTTGTGCCCAAAAAGGGCACTGACGCCATCGGGAACCCGAACAAGAGATTGGTCATAGATTTCAGAAAACTTAGCTAGGGAACCATTCCAGACCGCTACCCCATGCCTAGTATTCCCATGATTCTAGCGAATCTTGGCAAGAAAAAAATTTTTTACCATCCTCGACTTAAAGGCTACCATCAAATATAACTTGCGGAGCATGACCGCGAGAAGACGTCGTTCTCGGTAAATGGCGGCAAATATGAATTTTGTCGTCTGCCGTTCGGCGTAAGAAATGCAAAGAACATTTTCCAAAGAGCATTAGACGATGTTTTCGGGGAACAAATTGGGAAGATATGTTACGTCTATGTAGAGAATGAGACCGAACACGTCCGCCTGTGCTGCAGTGCCTAATCGATGCAAAGATGTGAGTAAGCCAGTAAATAAGTGAGTAAGTGAGTAAATACCCTAATTTTAAAAAGCCCTTTTACCTCACCACAGATGCGTCTGTAAGTGAGGCGCGGTTCTATCCCAGGAGGGTGGGAAGTCGTGTTAAATTATGCCACAAATGAAAGAGAAATACTAGCTATTATATATCGTCCCTGGGCAAATTACATAACTTCTATTTCCATAACTTACGTTTCCAGAGAGATTAATATCTTCACGGACCACCAACCTCTCACGTTCGCTGTGGCTGATTGGAACACGAACGCTAAAATAAAGAGATGGAAGGACTTCATAGACCAGCATAATGCCAAAAATTTTCAACAAACGTGGCAAAGAAAATCTCGTGGCTGATGCCCTTTCTAGGCAAAACCTCAAAATAAACTTCAGTCAGACGCTGCCACTATTCACAGCAAGCTATCCTTGTTATATATGTTCGAAACCACGGATAAGCCCCACTAAATTGCTTCAGAAATCAAATCATTCTGGAGGCAGCACGTTTCCGTCTTAAGCGAAACCTGGTGCTATTTCGGAGTAAGAGTCGCCACTTGACACTTGCCACAGTTTTACTGCTTAGTAAAGTCCCTTAAGGAAGTCTTCAATCCCGATGTCGTGAACGCAAGTTTCCAACACGACCATGTCACACACTACCCTGCCACTCAGTTTCGGCACTACAAAAATGTCGTGTTGGATATAACCGACAAGAGCGAGCAGTTAGGAATCTTCACTGCAGAGCACAACCGTGCGCACAGAGCCGCCCAGGAAAATGTTAAATAAGCCCTTCGTGACTACTATATTCCTAAAATGGGCAACTTATCAAAAGAAGTGGTATCTAATTGTAGGGTCTGCAGCCAAGCCAAATATGTCAGGCACCCCAAGAAGCAATTGCTCGGGGAAACGCCCATACCTTATTATCTGTGAAATGCTACATATTGACATATTTTCAACCGACAGGAAGCTGTTCCTAACATATGTCGACAAGTTTTCTAAGTTTGCAATAGTGCAACCGGTGACTTCCAAAACAATGCACCTCCGCTCCATAGCTCGTCCAATGGGCAAGTAGAACGGTTCTAATGACACCACAGATCTAATCTTGAGGGCAACGGTGGAATACAACAAAACCTTGCCGTCACTCACTCGTGAGAGACCAATTGAGGTTGTTCACGCAGGGGCGTTCACATCGGTAGATGCAACCCGAACAGCCAAAACCGGGTATTCGAAATAGGAGAACAGGTGTTAGTAAAGAACAATAAGAGGTTAGGAAACAAACTGACCCGCTATGCACAGGACAAAAAGTGCAAGCAGACATGGGAACGTCTGTTCTCATTAAGGAGAGGATGGTCCATAAGGACAACCTTTAGTAGGCATTCCCCTTACATTTAGTTAGTATGTTACGTTAAGAAAAACCCTTGGGCTTTCACTTTAGTTTCACCATATATCTAAATTCCCGGTTTGCTCTCAGGATGTTCATTACCCTGCCAATAGCGAATGCGCGGATCACCGACTTCTCTCATGCCTGTGGTCGACGGAGATGTACTGGTATTTGAACAACGAGACCTCTTGATTTACTCAAGCAACCTGTCCGACTTCGCTTTCAAGATAGATGAAACAGAAAATTTGTCCAAGTCCTTTCACAATTACTTTCACCACAATTCTTGACCATGCCGATTTGAAATCTCTTTTCGAACAATATATAACAGTAGTAAGCTTAATAAAAGTCTCGACGAGCACACTCTGGCAAAATGCGAGGATGACACCTTTGCGGTCACGGGATGCTTAGACACCACGCATTGCACGTTCTGCGAGAGGTTTCGGCGAGAAACTTGTGGGCGTTCACTCCACACGGGAAGCTCTGCTCAGTGCCACACTCAAACCAGCCACTTGCGAGCAAAAACACCTGTAGATGATGGTGTTGTGATAATCAACGAAGCAACACCTAGCGTTAGCACCGATGGTAGCCCGAAAGTACTGGTCGAAGCAACTCACCTGGTGTCCTTCGAGGGGATGGCGACCATCAACGGCTCCGAGTTCGTGAACCTACGGAAGACGTTAAGCAAGCAGCCGGGTATTGTGTGGTCACCAATAATTAAAATCGTCGGCCACGACCCCATGCTCAGCATTCCTCTGCTTCATCGGATGAACAATGAGAACCTACTTTCCATTTAAAGCTTCAAGGAAGAGGAAGAATCTTCAGGTTCGCCCAGACATTGGTTCGCCGGCGGTGTGCTCCTGAACGTTGGTTTAATTTGGTCACTCATCCTTTATCTGGTGTTAAGGAGAAAACGAGCCTCCAAGGAGATGCAGCGGACCATCGATAAATTCAACACAACCGACGACAATAAAGAGCACAAGCTCTCTGACCGCAACTCTGGCGATCTGCCGTCGTAACTTTTATGTTCCGTCTCTAGGCCAGACTAGGCCTAATTCTACTTCCTAATTCTACAATTGGGTTTACGCTTTGTACTACCAGTGCAAAGGCAGCGCGTGAGCAATAAGGAAGAGCACGCACATGGCGATACGTAGTCACCCGCGGAAGCAAAATATTGGGCAACCCCATCTAAAGGATTTCAAACAGGATTGTGCACCATCCAGAAAATTTATTTTGCGATCGCGTACAAGCAACTTTGTAACTATAAATAAAATTGAGGACAGAAAAAATTGTATTGCGTTTTTACACCCCATACTTGGAGAGGGATGAATTCCATACAACGACTCAATTTTTTGGATTCTGTTGCGAGAAATGCATAAAGAAAACATGCACTAAGAGCGATCTAACGAAATATGTATTATTGGCCGCGCTTTGACGGTTTTTGTGTAGGCGTAGGGTGCGAACAATCAGTTGAAGGTCTTAAAAGATACGATCAAATTATCCAGCACTGCAGTAAAAGCCTAAGGTTCAAGCCTCCGCTGCACTGCGCGCAACCTTAAACGTTAGAATCAGCATATTCAATATTACAACAAGAAGATCGAAAAAACCACAGTGCCAATTCGAGAGACTACAAGAGACAAGGGAACAATGCTATAGTTCCCCGATTATTAGATACCCAAGAAATTTCAACATATTCTGGAATATCGGTCGAAATTGAGGCGTGACAGTTTTGGGTGGTTTGTGGGCGTAGCAAAATGTTTTTAGGTAAATCTATAGAAATTTACAAGGTATATAAACAAATCATATCATAACACTTTTCAAAAGTGCGGCAATGACAGTTTTGGGTGGTTTGTGGGCGTTGGAGTGGGTGTGGCAAAAAGTTTTTTTTTGGCAAATCTATAAAAATTTACAAAATATATTATATAACAAAATAAAAAATATCAAAACATTTTTCAATGTTGGCGTGACTCTTTTGGGCGGTTTGTGGGCGTTCGAGTGGGTGTGGCAACATTTGAAAACAAACTTGCGCTGCGTCTAATTCTCTGGAAGCTATATGCTTATTCTCGGCATTCTAGCTTTTGTAGTTCCTGAGATCGAGGCAGTCGGATAGACGGACGGACATATGGATCCTGATGAAGAATATATATACTTTATATGATCAGAAATGCTTTCTTCTGCCTGCTACATACTTTTCAACGAATGTAGTATACCCTTTTACGGGTAAAAAAAGTCTGGTAAAATCTATTTAAAAATATATATAAGAACGTGTATTGCAGTAATGTAGTACTTGTTTAAAAAAATTGAATACGTCATTGCATTTGCATTACATTTTTGTCCATTCAACTGTGATAGTTTTCCACCATAACTTCGAGAAGAGATGAGCAAAATTGTAAAATAATCTGCTGTAGTAATTACAGAAGCGTCGTGCGCATCTGTGGGTATAGTATACTTTTTAATAACATCGTATTTCTTATCATCCGGTAGGCAGCCACACAAGTTCAAAGAGCGTGCCTAAGCTCCAAGCCGCACTCTCCTATGTCTGCAGGCCAGACAGATGAGCTGGCCCTGGGTCATGTCATTTTCACGTTAGAAGACATCCCATGCCACGGTGGATCCAGAAATATAGGGAGAAGAAAAATCCATTTTAATTTAAGCCAACTATCAGCTTCGTGTGTGATGGTACGAGCTATTAAGCGGCTTGGCAAAATTGTGTCTGTTTTTCCCAGGAGCCAATGGGAACGTGCGTATAGTAGTATTCGTACTGCACGAGGAATTGTTCGCACACAGAATCTTAATCTTAATTAATTTATCAATTATTGCAGCTCCCTAGTACTAAACTTATATTTTAGTGACTTTATATAATTTCGAGTTAAGTTTGATCATATTTAGTTAGCCAGCATAGGAACAGTCGGTAAATTAATTAAAAATAATATTAATAAAGTAATCATAAAGTCTTTTAATTCGGTATACATCAGCTTTTTTCAAATATATAAATACTGGAGTGGAACACCAACATAGGTTTACCGAAGATACAACTTGGGCACAGCGTAGGCGTCACAAGAATCTGCCTAATATATTTTATATTTATATAGACGCGCACACGAACGGAGTAACGGAAATAATATAAAGATATATCTACTTACATCAAATTCGCGAAATACATCTCGTATATCAGGTTTTCGTTTTGGTCGGCTTTTTGTGCGCCCCCGGACCGTTTTGTTTAAAGTCCTTACCAGTTGTACAATCGCTTCAGCATGTGGCTTAGATAAAGTAGTAAGTATGGGATCCAAGTCAGTTTTAGAAACCTCTAACCCCTAAAAGAAAAAATTAATAATAATATTTTTTTTATTGTTAATAATGAAAACCTAATTAACTATCTTGAACCCCTATTACCTAACTATCTGGTCCAAATTATCATGTATTAAATTGTCTTTTGTCGTTAAAAATTTGTTAGTCTATGCTAGTTTGTTAGTCTAGGCTAATAAAAAATGGAAAAATATCACATTTTTTAAAAGTGCAGTTTCTGGCGGTTTGTGGGCGTGGCAAGCTAATTTTATGCAGGTCGATAGAAATTTACAACACTAATAAAAAATATCACATGTTTCAAATATATGTCTCTGGAATCTGCATGCTTGATCTCAATATTCTACCGTGTGTAGTTCCTGAGACCGATGACAGATGGACGGACATGGCCAGATCGACTCGACTATTGACCCTGATCAAGAAAATATATACTTCATATGGTCGGAAACGTAGCCTGTTACAAACTTTTCAAGGAATTTGTAACTCTTTTTGTACTCTTTTACTCAACGAGTTAACTGGTATAAATATATATTTTTAACTAGTGTTATGATTCAGAAAAGAATGAGCGTAGCAATGCTACAATTTCTGCTGTCGCAGCAAAAGCACCACCAGCAACTACCAATATTGCGAATTCGTTGCCAACTGCTATATCGCAAAATGCAATGTCAGCGAAAACCGTCAGCTTCGAAAATCAACAACGGTCCCGGCCATACAGACCGTTTGATCGCTACATCCAGATTAAGTGTAAGCTTAGATCACAAAACACGGTCGGTAGCAACGAACAAACTATGTGTGTTCCCCCACCTATTTATATAAGGGAAACAAGCTATAACGACCTGGTCAAAAAAATTGATTGCGCTTTCCATGTTGTTCCGCTTAGTAAGGGGAACATCTACGAAAACGAAGCTCAAACGAATTTCGAAGAACACGTCCAAACTGTGTCTAAATACCTGGAGGAAACAAAAAAGAACTTATACTCCTATTAACTAGCACCAAGGACTGCAAGTTATACTAAAAGGAATCGAACCCGACCTAAAGACAAGGGCTTCTGTGCCAAAAATGTAAGCAACATAATAAGCAGAAACAAAACGCCGTAACCACTGTTCAATATAGTCCTCGAACCAGATAGCAAAGCCGTAAAGAAAAACGAAGTGCAAGCTGCAGTTCCTATTGCATTGAAGGATCACCGTGGAATAACCACATAAACGCAACGGTCCTGTACAACTCACGAACTGCCAGGAGTATGGACACATGGACACACCAAGACTTCGGTCAGTCTGGGGAGACTTTCACAACTCCCGCCCCGCTAACAAAGGATACCCAAGACAGAATGCTATAGTCGATTTCCCCGACTATCAGATACCCGGTACTCATCCTGATCAAGATTATATATACTTTATATTCGACAGCAACGCGTCAACAAAACACGGAAAATGCGTTTTATAACTCAAAAACAATGACAGATGGATTTTTCTCCAAAGGAGCCAAATAATCATTCGGTTCGCTAAATACACCTGAGGCATCTCCTACTCCGAAGCCTTAAAAGGCATGGAAAACCCACTACAGGCACACTCTGTAAACACTCAGCATGGACTTGGAAACTATAATGTTTACCATGCAACAAAGTGTGAAGCTCATGTCATTTATGAAAACGACTATAAGAACCCTTGTTCAGAACCAGAATATGGTGATTCAGTTGCTTGCAGCCAAATAATAAATGTCTAACCTACGTACATATCCATGTGGAATGCCAACGACATTTCACGGCATAAACTTGAAATAACGCAATTTCTAAACGTAAATCACATCGATACTAGGCTGCTGGTTGAAACCCATCTCACAGTGAATTATAATTTCCACATAAGGGTTTATACCTCTTACAGCACAGTTCACCCGGATGGCACCGGCATCTTAATCAGAGAACGCATCAAACGCAACTTTCACCAAAGGCTTGGAACAAACTACTTGTCCATAAAAGTGCAGTTAAGAAAAGGTATCCTTTGCATTGCCGCTGTCTACTGTCCACCTCGCTTTACTATCTCTGAAGATCAATTCATGGATTTCTATAACACACTGGGGGATCGCTTAATAGTTGTAGGATACTAAACACACGCACTGGGGATCCCGCCTCGTGACTCCCTAAGGAAAGGCTACTGTATAATGCACTTATAAAAGTGAGCAATGGACTATGGACTATGTTTCTCCTGGTTGCCTCACATATTAGCCAGCAGACCCCAGATAGATCCCAGATCTAATTGATTTCGCGGTGACAAAAAACATGCCACGCGATCTAAAAAGCGCCAAGGTCCTACCGGATCTCTCATCAGAACACCTGCCTTTATTGATAACCTCTCTGCAAAGCCCAGAAATTAGAGACCACCCCTACAGGCTGTCATCACACAAAACCATCTGGAGGAATTATAGAAAGTATGTGAGTTTCCACATTGAGCTAACTCCCCTTCTTAAGCGAAGCGGACATAGACTGCTCTACCGCCGCAGGAGCCAGGATCTCAACACCTAAACGGAGGGATGTGGAATCTAAGAAGTCTAAAACAAACCTGCAAATTGAACAGCTGGTTCTGGAAAAGGAGCGTCTGCCACGGGCGCGGCAAACTAGCAGATCGCCATGCTTATTGCAACACCTTACTGAAGACACACACAATCTATACCGGGCTCTGAAGCAAGACGCCGAAAATGCACAACTAAAATATATTGAAAAACTCTCGCATGTACTAGTTGGCATCCTTGTGAAGGGCTCACCCATATCTAAGCTCCCCGATTGAAACCGTCACACCGACAAGAAAGTCTTCAGGTTGCTGGGACCGCAGCGACAAAGACAGAGCTGAAACGTTTGCCTTACAACTCCGGGGCGTCTTCCACCAAACCCCTGCTGCAAATGCCTATCTGAAACATAACAACAACATAACAAGGTCATCAGGGAGCTAAAACCAAGCATGAGAGAATGCTATAGACGAGTTCCCCGACTATCAGATACCCGTTACTCAGCTAGTGGAAGTGCTGAGTTCTGAAATATGGGTTCTAAAATATCGGTAGAAACAGCAAAATTAATAACAAAATGGAAAAAAATAAAAAATTGTTAAAAGTTTGAGCGTGGCAGTTTTGGGCGGTTTGTGGACAGTAGAGTGGGTGTGGCAAACAAATTTTTGGCAAATCGGTAGAAATTTAGAAGACTAATTAACAAATGAAAAAATATGAAAATATTTTTTCAAATTTTGGATGTGGCAGTTTTGAGCGGTTTGTGGGCGTAGAAGTGGGCGTGGCAAATTTACAAGACTATTAAAAAAATTTCACATGATTTTTCAAAAGTGTGGGCAGTTTTGTCCGATTTGTAAGCGTTAGAGTAGGGTCGGCAACACTTACCATATAAGGAAGCTTAAAACATTATCCTAGCTCATCAATTTGAAGAGAAAAACATCATCAGAGAAAAACATGGAACTATCAACCAAGTTAATAGAATAACATCAGAAATTCGCACTGCCTTCGAGCATAGAGAATATTCCTCGATGTATCTCAAGCATTCGACAGGGTCTGCACCTTCGCAGTGAGGTGCAACACAACAATATCCGTCAACTACACCAAGTCAATAAAATAACGTATCTCGGCATCTACCTCGACAGACATCTAACATGGCGTGGGCATTTCGAATACAAGACACTAGACCTCTACTGGATTATAAAAGCCCGATCGCCCTTGTGTCTGGACTACAAGGTCCTGCTCTACAACTCCACTCTTAGGGAGAGTGTGAGCAGAACAGTGCGCTTAATCAAAGATCCTGCGATCTATCACTGTGACACTGTTCGAAATCAAAACATCCACAAGGATATCGGCATTCACACAGTAAAAGATGAAATAGACAAGCAAAAAGCGTCCTACAATGTATAACTCCCTGCCCACCCAAATAATCTCGCACGGGGAACTTGACTAGGGTTTCCAACCAAACCCGCCTGTAACGTACCGACTTTACAACTCAGCCATAATTTGTCAGGGCCATTTTTGCTATTCCAGACTACATGACTGCTAGCTAGGTTATACTATAAGATTTGATACACTTATTGTTAGTCTCGAAATTGAGAAAATTCAATAAATTCAAGCAAAGTACGTCTTCTGACTTCAAAGCGAACTGTGGTTTTTCTGTGCTCAGAATGTATTTTTTCTTTCGCCAAAACCATCGGTGGTTATTAATAAGTTCTTTAATAATTATATTTTGTACACATAATTATTAAAACACAATTTTGCAAAACCAGCGATGGTTTTAAAAGGTTCTTTAATAATCTTATTTTGTACACATATCAAACAAATAATTAAACCTTTTGTTTTTTCTTTGGTTTACCCTTTCTTTTGTGGATTATCCGTAGTGCTGCTTGGTGCTGTTTTAGTATGCACATAAACTGCACCCGCTTACCCACACAAAATCCAAAGTTTTAAGTGTGCTAATTGCGATCTTGCGGTTCATTTAACAGCTTGCTTTCAATTTTAGATTTTGTGTCTGTGTACAGTGGTCTGAAACAAACAAAAATGGAAACTAATGTTACCTGTTTCCAAAACAAATTCCGTCAGGTAATAAAGGCTGACTGGTTGGCTGTGTGATAAAATAATTCATACTAAGTGCGTAGGTTGTAGCGGACGAACAAGTGGTGACCTAGCAAAGGGCCCAAATCTAAATTACTGTTCTGATGCTTGCCTAGGGGATACGAACGAGATGAAATCGTTTATGCGCCAAAGTAAAGGTGCCTTGAAAGGACTGATCAATAGTTTTGGCGGGGCTAGAGATAGTTTTCGTCGAGCTGATGATCTGCTTTCCGCGCTAGATTCTTAGATTTATAGCCCTAGTCTTAGAGGAGTCGCCAAAGTGCAAGAAAGCTGCTGGTGGTAGGCTGCCTAAGGGGAATGCTTCGCAGCCTCCGGCAAATGATCAACAGGACTCCACAGCTTATCAGTTGTCGATCGCAGCCAATCCTCAAATCGGCAATCCTCAATCGGCAGCTAAAAA